TAATTTAGACCATCTAATTGGCAAACAGGCTCCAAATGGCTATCATCTCACAGGGCTTGGAATTAATGAAGCCCGATTATTTTCATTACTTTCCTCTGAGATGGAGACAAAGTAAGAAAGCTGGTACCCAGGCGGGTGCGACAGCCCCAGGGCAGTGGCCACCCAATAGCCCCAGTGGGAGGGTAGGAGGTGGGGTAGACCAGCCTATCCCAGAGATTCACAAAAGCACAGGCATACAACAAGCCCAGAGAAACATAGATACTGACGGAAAAAAAAATCACAGGAGAAAAACTATTGCTCCCACAAGAGAGAAAGAGAGCTGCAGGCAGTGAAGGGAAACCTATGCATGTACAAAAAATAGTGAATTAAAAACCAGCAAAGAGAGAGAAGATAAAGGGTTAGCGAAAAAGGTGTTCCTGGGATGCTCAGGGGCCAACCCCCATGTCCACCGCGAGGTTGTATTTTGTTAAGTGATCAAGGAACAAAGACAATTTCCTGACATTAATGTTCCAGGATCCCAGTGGTGTGGCCTGTCACTTAGAGCGATAGTGATCAATTAGAATAATTTAAGAGTATTGAAATGCATGGTAGGTGGTCTTTCCCATTCTCTTTTCCGGCCAAAAACATGCCCCCCCACGTCCTCAATACTCCTTTCCCAAGTCAGTGGGGAAGTGAGAACACAGTCCAGTAGCTCCAAGTCCCCACATGGGTTTGAAATCCGAGTTTTCTGTAAGTGGGTGCCAGGTCTGTGGAACGGAGTTTGGGGGCGGGCTGCTCAGTCAGGTCTGGAGGGGCACTTGTCTCATTGCCTTTTAAGCTTTATAGATTTTTCTTTCATGTGACATGTCTAATGACACCCTTTGGAGCTCGGTTTCCAATGGGCCGAGCAGAATGGAGTGCCGTGGGTGCAGTTTCCATAGCGCAGGGCCAGAGCTGCAGTTGTTCCCAATGGAGAATATTTTTCAAGCCCCTTCATCAGTAAAAGGAAGGGGACCCATGGAAGACACAGATATGAGATGCAGAGCATAAGCAAGCAGCTGTTACCATAGCAACAGACATATTAGACACTGCAGGTTCCTGAAAGCTGTCTGATAAGGTATTATTAAATGAAGCCTCCTCAAAACACTCTCCATTTACAACTGAACGGAAAGACATTGTGTAGAAAGTAATCTATTTCCATTTATCAGGGTGGAATTTACTTTTAGAGGGACTGAAACCCAATTCAAACCATATCCTGAGACCTTGGACCCAGACAGCAAAAAATATTTACCAGAATTTATAGCTTTCGATACCCTGGACACACCCCATGTCTGCCAGGAACTGTCTATTTAGTGAATTTTGCCAGCTTTTCCTATTCAGCAGCCAAAGGCGGCTAACTTAGTCAAGCCACTTGGCAAGAAGGAAGATTCACTCCTCTTCCTGCCATTCATCGCAACCACTCAGGGACAAAGCAGACACGACTTTCTCCCCTTGGAGGATGAATGGCCGTGCATTGGCCATTCCTTGATAATATGGTTAAAAAAAATGGAGCTCTGATTTGAGGGGCATTTCTCATCATGCTGTTTTCAGACTCCCTCCTCCACTTGGCCAGAAACATAGAGATATACGGTCAGGAAGCCTCACCAATACTTCCCCATGGCCAGTTTTCTCATGAAATGACAGTAAAATACCCTCCAGGGGCAGGATTTTAACCACAAGTTCATTATCATCATTTCGTTTTAACAAATGAAAATTCCGTTTTAACACCAAACTTTCCAGAGGAAGGAGAGTGGTATCTGCTTTGATTCATCAGGGCAGAGACCAAGATCCAGCCCTCAAGCTAGAGTCTGAGTTCCCCCTGAGGTCCGGCCACAAATTCCCCTCCAGCCCTGGCTGCTCATCTTTTCCTACTGAGCTAAAGGATCAAGGTGGAAACACTTCATATAAAACCAGCCTCATTACTTGAAAAACCAATTCAGTACTGACAGCCATGCAATGACTCCATCTTCTCATGCAAAGAGAACCTTTAAGCCATCCTTATACCTCCAAGCACAGAGGAAAACCCTTGTATGATTACCTTTCCCACAACTTTCAACTTTACTTCTGAATCCATTCACTTTTTCTTGTTCCCAGCAAATCAACATCCTATAATCAGCACATTTCCCACAATTTGCACACTTTTCAGAAATGTCTAGAAAACATCTCCATCACCTGCTATGGGAAGATGAGGTGCACAGGGATTTCTGTGCAAGGTGCCAAGTGCAGCCCCTCTAGGGACCATGTTTCTCCTACATAATTATGTTGTCAGAGATTCTTCCAGGACAGTATTTATTAACTTGGTTCCATGGATGAGTTTTAGGGCATCCCTATGCTTCCTGACATTGTACAGACAATTGTGTATAAGCGTAATACTTGACGGAGGTTTTAATAGTGGTTGTCAAACTTTAGTATGCATAGAGTAACCCAGTAAGGCTACTGAATTGTTTTCACCAGTCTCCGGAAAGATTGAGAATCACTGCTTGAGAAGGTGCCAGCTAGTGGATAATACCCAGAAATATCTTAGGGGTTGGTACCCAAGCAAACACAACAGTCACATCCTGCCCTTGAAGACTGTTGGTAAATTAAGAAGATTCATAATGACCACCAGACTTGCTACCTGAAATGTACCTTACTATTGCTATTATAAAAATATGACAAAAAAACAATGGATATTTGAAAAATAATTTACATTCTATTCCTTAGCTAAATATAAAAGAAACTTACTGTCATACAGATTACTATAGACCCACAAACCTTAGAACAGATTTATATTAAACAGAAAAAATAACCACCTGAGCAAAAAGAAAATTTAATTAAGTATTGAAAATGCTTCCCTCTCACCTGCCCAGCATGGCTCAGTGGTTAAGTGTCAACCTATGAAACAGGAGGTCATAGTTTGATTCCCAGTCAGGGCTTGGTCCCCAGTGTAGGGTGTGGAAGAGGCAGCCGATCAGTGATTCTCATTGATGTTTCTATCCCTCTCTCCCTCTCCCTTCCTTTTTGAAATCAATAAAAATATTTTAGAAAAAAGAAAATGCTTTCCTCCCCACATATCTCTCTGTTCCTTTGGGCTCTCACGGTTCCGGGCCATCAGTGGCAAATGTAATGAGGCCTGAGAAAATCCCCCTTGTGGAGTTATTTGCAAGGCTGGTAAGAATGCCAAGGAAACCTGTTACATCTACAGAGACCCACCATCCACAGAGAGGTTTTCACTTACAGAGAAACTTTCGACAACGTTCACTGTTCTATTTGATAATACCCACGGCGAGTGAATTCTACTTGAAAGAACTCTGAAATGAAATACATGCTAGGTCACCTTTGAGTTTCCCATTGGCTGCTAACGTCCTCTGATGCATCACCAATGATAGTTACATCACTTTCAACATTGTTCGTTAATCTTGCATAACCAAATGGAATGGGAAAGGCCTAGAGGTTACATGTCTGTGACTTGCACTTTACATGATGGAATTCTGAACAGACTACCTCTCTGGGAATCTTCATACGAAAAGGCAAACTAATTTCCCATTACTCCACTGCTGAAATAAGTTAGAGGTGGGACTGATTCTCCTCCGTGGTTTTTCCTCTAGTGATCAGGAAAGGGCTTTCTCAGCAGTCCCAACACAGATAGAAAGTAAGACATTCATGTCACCTGTAGTACTTTGAAAAGTCTTCACATCAGAATTAGATTTAAATCTTTATACTAACCTTTTGGGCTGTGTTTATAAAGGCCACTTAAAGCCATGTTTTCAAAACCTGCAGGCATAGCAGCATCATGTTCAAAATGCCAAACCCTCATGCATGAATCAACATGTGCTATCCAGCTGACCGTTTTCCTGCTTTGAGAATAAAAGTGTCCACTTGAGAAATGCCCATGTTTCAGGGGCTACCCTCCTAGAGTCGGAAAATGCGAGTTCAACTCTCAACTCTGCCACTTACAAGGGACATCAAGTCAGTTAACTCCTCTGAGCCTCCGTTTCCTCAGCTGTTAAAGTAACTGTGTCAGACTCTTTTGTGAAGATGCAATGAGCATCTATATATATAAAAGCCTAAGCGACCATTCGCTATGATGCACAATGACCACCAGGGGGGCAGATGCTCCAACAGGTAGCTATGATGCTCCCTGACCACCATCAGAGGGCAGACGCTCAACAGCAGGAGCTGCCGTGACTTGGCAGCTGCAGTTCTCAGGTGACACACCTGGAACCAGAGAGGAGGAAGCCCGATTCCAGGGTGTGTCACCTGAGAACCACCCTCTCGCAATCCAGGACCCCTTGGGGATGTTGGAGAGCGGTTTTGGCCCAATCCCCGCAGGCTAGGCCAAGGGACCCCACACCGGGCCTCTAGTAATGAATATAAGAGCAACATAGACCATGACCTGCTCAATAAAGGTTTGGAGAATCTGAATAACAATTTCTTCACATAAATGATTAACTGCTCTAGGCCTCTGCATCCCTCAGGGAGAGGATGATGAAAAGGGAAGGTTGAGAAACACATATGTATTCAGCTCTTTGGGCCACGGTCATGCCAAATCTAAGGCAGACAGTGTAGCACAAAGTCACAGAAATAGACCATTAAAAAAAATTATTTTTTCTTCACTAGAGGATATTTTTCCCATTGATTTCTAGAGAGAGTGGAGGGGGGAGAGAAAGGGAGGGCAGAAGGGGTAGAGAGAGAGAGAAAGAAACATCGACATGAGAGAGACACACATCAGTTGGTTGCCTCTCACACCCGCCCCTACCAGGGCTGGGGAACCTGCAACCGAGGTACACACCCTTGACCAGGAATCGAACCTGCAACTCTTCGGTCCACTGGCTGATGCTCTAACCACTTAGCAAAACTGGCCAGGGCTAGGATCATTTTTGACATTTCCAACTCTACACTGACTTTCTCATCCATCAACACAGTATCTTGTCCATGCTATTGCATCACCTTTGACCCCTGGGAAAAGGAGAGCCACAGGATCCTGCTCCTGGCTGTCTTACCGTCATAATGAGCTTCTCCACGCAGTCGGGTGCCACGCTGTGGAGGTGGGTGAGGTGCAGCTGGAGGTGGATCTTATTGTTGAGCATGTCCTGGCACAGGGGGCAGCGAAGCATGGGCTGCACTGAGTGCTGCGTCATGGCATGTACCCGGAGCCGGTTGACATCTGCGTTGCTGTACTTGCAGTAGGGACACTGGTACATCTGTGGGGAACACACCCATTCCTCTGGCTGAGTCTTCAGTTCCCACCGGCAACCAAGTCAGCCCCAAGCCCGCCCACCCGAGAGTTCCTTTCCACCTGTGTCTGAAGCACTACCCCCACCAGCAGAGCCCCTTCCCGCCTCACCTGCTCCGCTTTGGTCTCCTCTGATGTTTTTGGTCGCTTCGAAGAGAGAGGAGACTCCGAGCTACCTGGGAAGGAGATGCGCTTGGAGGTTACAGGAGAGTCTGTCAGCTCCTTTTCTGCTTGGCTGGACGATGCTGGAAGAAAAAGCAGAAGATGCAATACAGCAGCCAGACCAGGCCAGCTCCTGGAGGCTTTGTGTTGGGTGAAAATCAACATTCATTTATAGCACAGGATTTTCTTGAAACACCAAAATCCAAGCAGGATGAGCATCCAGACTGACTTATCAAGCACGTTGGAAAAGAAGCAAGTGTTTCTTCCCCCCGCCCCATGAATTTTCTGTTACTACTTTAACAGCTGAACACTAAGGAAAAATGGTAAAGAAATGGATGACAAGGCTGAGTTGGATAAAGCTCAATTCATTCAGTCTATTCTGACTTCCTCCAATCAAGACACAATCTGCTCGCTTGTGGGCACAGGGTGGGTGCAAGAATCTCACCAACTGCTTCACCAAAACTACTCATCAACTTGAGTACCAGACACTGTTTTACAAAGGTAATAAACTACATGCCCCAACTTTACTGTCCCAGCTCCTGGAATCACAGCACATCACGAAGGACACGATCAGTGTGACCTGAGGAACATTCACATGGACGTCTGCACACAAGTGCGGGGCAGGCAAAAGTAGGCTTACAGGTGTCTGTATGGGAAGTAATACATAATCTCTCTATATAAAAGCCTAAGTGACCAGCAGACCGGCTGGTAGCTATGACACGCACTGACCACCAGGGGGCAGGTTCTCAACGCAGGAGCGGAAATCACAGGCATGGAAACATGGAACAGACTAATGAATCTCAGAGGAAAGGGGGTAGGGGGGAGGAAAGGAAGAGATTAACCAAAGATCTTATATGCATACTAGAGGCCCAGTGCATGGATTTGTGCACCAGTGGGGTCCCTCGGCCTGGCCTGTGCCCTCTCGCACTCCCGGCCGGACCCTGGATCTGTCGTTATGAAACCTGGCCTGGAGCTGGGGTTGGCTCTCTCGCTAGTTTTGGATGTGGAACTCCATTTTTTTATAATTTTGCTAAAAGCAACAAGGAAAAAATATCCTGAAGATGGTAGTGAGAAAATGCATCCCCACTGCCCTCCGTTGGAAAATAATTTGACTCAGCACTGAAGTCACTGGTTTGGAAAGCCTAATTGATGGCCTCTGTCTCCCCGAGCCTAGGTACCCGGCACGTGGAAACACTGCTCAGCTTTGAGATTCTTTTTGGACATGGATACCAAGATGCTGTCATTACAGACATGTGCTTTAATAAACAATTTTATAAATCAATTTTATTCATTAAAATCATAAGGCCACAAGATAATTTTGAAAAAAAAATTGCTAAATGCAGGAAATATTCCAGGAAGTTGACACTCTTCCCTGAATTCACATCTTGTGACCTTTAACCCCAGTATCTTGGTAACCTGGTCTACATAAGTTTGTAGGACATCTATTATTTAAAAAGTACAAGGACAAGCATATTACACACAGACCTTTCCTCCTCCCCACACACACATTCATAACAGTACTTTAATCTGTCTCGAATCGACTTCAAACCCATTTTGCTCTTAATGGGAGTTATTCATTTTCACTTGAAAGGTAATACATGACGGCTGGATATTTAATGTGATGGACTGGCTGCCGATTAACTAGGTGCTGTAACATTCTAGACAGGGTCCCCCATGGCCCACTTCCCATCTCCTACCCCCCGCAGACCTGATTCTGCGGAACCTTGTCTCAGGGTTTAGACCTCACAGTGTGGGGCCCCTGCCTCAACACTCCCACAATTGGAATCTTTAATATTTCGGGGACTGAAGTTCCCTACCCCCAGAAGGTTCCTTATTCTCCATCATTTTCTCATTTTTGCTTACTGGTTATCTCTCTATATATTAGCTCTTCAAGTGCACCCTAAAGATGGGGCAGGTGGAGGCACTCGGTAAGTGGCACTTTAGATGCTTGTTAGTCATCTGCTCATCTTCCCTGTTTCTATCCCTGACCTGAGGCATTGGGTCAGGGCCAGAGCACATAGTGAGGAAAGAGCCACTACCTACTTCTTTTCTAATAGAAGCAAACTGAGATACAGATACTCTTCCAAATACCCACCCGCCTTTTTGTTAGTCTGCCTGACCTGAAACAACACTTGCTTTTACGGGACCATGACACTACCTTATAAATGCCCTCAATCTGCCTGCACCCTCCCCCCCTTTAGAACGACTGTCAGTTGTGAGTTGCTTGGCAGTGTGAATGAATGGGCACCGAGGCTGACACCACCCAACTCATCTCCTCGCTCGGAGCTGAAAGGCAAACCCAGTGTAACCCAGTGCAGCTTCCCTTCCTCATAGGACCAAAGAGTCCATCCTCCTCTTTCAATGCTGAGCGCGAGATGAATTGTGACGAGGTTGCAGAGGTGACAATTCTGGTTTCAAAATCCACTATTCTTTCCCCCGGCATGGAGAGGGGAACTTTCATTACCTTTTTTTTTTTCAAACTCTCACACTGCTCTGGAATTCTAAAGCTTCCTTTGTGAGCTCAAGCTAAGGAGTTCTTGTAACGTGTTTTAAGAAATGAAACCGCTCACTCATTTCTCTTCCTCACCAGTAACAAAACAGCCCTGCCACAATATGAAATGCTGCATCTACTGGTATAAAAATTTCTACCCCAGACAACCTGAATTCATCTTAGATCAGATCTGTCTAGAAGTGGACATTAGCCACCTGCAGCTCACTAGTTCCTTCTTTAAAGAGAAAGCCATGCCATTCTTACAACAGATTCTATTAACACCCACGTACAATCCCACTGTGTTTCCCTGGGTGATGTGGGGACTGCTCCTAAGACCTAACTAGGTTGACAGGCCCCCTCGTAGCTTGACCTCAGACATTAAAATATCAGTCCCCATCCAGACGTGGCACTGCCCAGCCAGCATGGCTCAGTGGTTGAGCGTCGACCTATGAAACAGTAGGTCATGGTTTGACTCCCGATCAGGGCACATGCCCGAGATGCAAGCTCCATCCCCAGTGTGGGACATACAGGAGGCAGCCGATCAATGATTCTCTCACGTCATTGACGTTTCTACCTCTCTATCCCTCTCCCCTCCTCTCTGAAAACAATAAAAATATATTTTTAAAAAATGATGTGGCACCTAAGTCTTTATATAGTTCTGCAGGCAGGCAAACTATTGTACAAGTTCTCCATGAGCGTGCTGGGTGAGGGTTTGCTCGAGGCCACGGGCAGTCTACGGTTTCCTCAAGCTGCTTCTCTCTGAGCAACTTCAAAAGGGCCAGTCTCTCAAAATCAATGTCTCCTTCAGTTCTGTCACCAGCGCACACTGTAGGTATATGTAAATGAGGTGGTGTGGCTACCAAGAGAGAAAGCACTGTGGTTTTCTGCTCTGGAGACTTTTCTAAACTTTGACTTAAATTCTAGGAGAGATGTCACAGTCTCAAAAACATTATTTAAAAAATCAATGACTGGTCACTTTAAGGCCACTATGACATCACATTAGCGAAATGGAAATATATGCCCCTGAGGTAGCCATGGTTTAAACAGTACCTGGAAACTTGGGTTTCTACTGGCAACAAAAACGCAAACGACCTGAAGGATGATGACCTGTGCTCGTTTTCCCAATAATGACAAAATAAACCAGGAACAATGTAGATTTTTTAATGTGATTAAGTAAATAATGCTATATCCACTCTAGTGGGTAACAGAAGATATTAAAAGTGACAGCTATGAAGCAATATGGAAGTGTCCCTGAGAATGTTCATTGGGAAAAAAATAAGGTAAAATTTGCTTTATTCCATGATATAGGTACATAAAAAATAAGAGAAGAAAATGTTGCATTTGGGTGATGGCATGATGGACTACTTTCCTATTTCCTCAGTTTGTCATGTAGTTCTATTCTAAAATATTATAATTAAATATTTTACCATTTTTGTTCAACTGTCCATGCAAAAGTTGATACTTGGATCCATACTGTGAAAAACACCAGGTGGTATTTTTTCACTTTGCTGGTTGAAGCAATTTTTCCATTTTGGCAGCTATGTCATACGAAAGTATGTTGTTAAATCCCAATGAACCTTCCACAGGCAACATGCTGGGTTCCTGGCACTTCAAAGGGGATAAAAATGTGGCGAGGACCCATGTGAGTGCATGCACCATAGATCACATAGTCAATAAAGCCAGGCAAACGGGGTATTTGTGACAACGGAATGCTGGGTCAAACCCCAGCTGAAACCTGATAGGATGTGAGCTGTGGGTTCCACCAGGCAAACTTTACAAGGAGTGAAAAAACACTTGCTCAGCCTGTTAGGAGTCATGGCTGCCTTACCCAACTGGCTGGTGAGGCACAAAGGGACTGGCATGTCCTTGTTATGGAGGGCAGAAAATTCAAAGTTGGCTTTTTAGGCCGAGAGCCACCAACCACTTTCCCTTAAACTGTGATGGGTTGGCCACTATACCTGACAAATACTGGGAGGCAGACCTGAGTCCTGGCTCTCCATTTTATCCTCTTAGACTCCTCTATATTCTAGGCCAAAGAATTTCATTTCAAAGGGAAAAACAGTAATCAATGCATGGCCTCCTCAGGGAAAGTCATGTATGCACAGAAACATCAAGTTCCAGATATCCTTTGTTTTTAACACATTTGTTTGGGAAGTATTTAACCTCTAAAATATTTATTTAAAAAAGCTACTCCTCCTCACATACTAATTAGAGGGAGTAGGGAAGGGAAGAGAGTCAATCCAAATTCATGCAGGTTTTGTTTGCAATTTTCAAGATAGGGCTTTATTGTGCTCCAAGCACCTAGCATAATTAAAACAAGCTTAGCAAAGCCTGACTTACACTAAAGAATAGGTAAGAATAGTATAATTTAGAGGTCTTATAAAGTGCCAAGGATGGTAGAAACACAGCCACTGTAACTTCACCTGATAAAACCATTCTTCCTAGAATGACTTCTCATCCAATTCAAATCCTCACTAACAAATTGACATCCGAGTCACTGAAATTTTGGCAACAGAAAACTTCAGAGTTAGACGCACAATACCATAGCCAGCTAGTGACTTCATGCCAACACTCGCCTCGTCTGTGTGACTC